ATGTTACTTATGGGGGGTTGCAAAATGTATTTTGTTATATATAAAAGAAACCTAATTCAAGGTTATTTTTTCACTTTGACATCATTTATTTTGCTGGGAATTTCAGGAAGGTAGTTAAGAATGGTGGTGGATTTATCTTCTTTCCCTTTTTATTGATTTTTTCGTCTCGATTCTTTAATGTAAATGTATAGTGTGGTAATGGTGTTTTGTAATTCCATATCATACACCTAATGCTAATCACTCAAAGTTTAGTTTAGGAAAACATTATTGTTAACTAAGTTTTCATAGTTTACAAGCCATACCAAATTATAATAGATCATGGATGTAAGAATTATAATGTAATCCTAAAAAATGGAATTATGTATAATCAGTGTCCTTTTTAATAGATGCAAGAACATCTTCTCTTTAAATATGTACATATTATGTATTTGTAATATGTGACATGTGTACAATATATAATGCTTAGCATACAAGTAACACATTATATGTATCAGATTTTATGGTCAAGTGGCCTTCACCTAATAATATGGTTGATAATATTCATAAACGACCTTGGATTGGATAACAATCATGGCTTGTTTATGCAAGGAAGGTAGGATGATGTACCTTCTGTACAGTGGTGAGTTACATTGAACTTTGAGTCTTAGAGGAATTTTTGAAGTTCTATTTTATAATCAAATAATCTTTGTTTGGTATTTTTTTCATGAAGTTAGTTGTTGAATCAAGGGTATTATGGTTATTTTACACCTTCTCAAAGATAGCTTTTTTTATGTACAAAATTTGTTTCATATATAGCATCGTACTTTAAAAAAAAACTTTTTTGGATTATTTTTAGATATAAGTTTTTTTTTGGGTGTATTAAAGCTCATGTTGTAGGACTGTTTTCTGGAAACAAGTTTCACTAATAGCATTGAACTTTGCAAAAAAATCATTAATATCATCGTACTTTCAAAAAAATTACTTTGCGGATTCTTGTTAGTTGATCTGGAAAAGTTTCATTTTTTTTTATATATTAGAGCTTATTTAGACAACTGTTTTTTTTAACATTTCGTTAATGGAAGGTACATTGTCATTTTCTTTCACATATAGACCATTTATGTATTTTTTTTTAAATATGTAATTTTTTTCACAAATAGACCATTTATGTAATATATAATTTTAAATGTTCATCAGTTGGCAATTAATATGATAGTTTTTTTGGGAAAAATTGTTTTTAGTATCGAACTTTGCAAAAAAAAAAGTTTTTTAATAGCATCATACTTTTAAAAAATTATTATTTTTGGATTATTTTTAAGATGATATGAAAAAGTTTCATTTTTTTTTTGTAAAATTGGAGATGATTTTTAGGTAATGGTGATGATTATTTCAATGATTCTTTTGGTTTATCTTAAAAGAAAGAGTTGGTTGAATAAATGGTTACGCAGAGTAAAAAAGAATTAATAATAATAAAGGGTATTTTTGGTATATGGCTGGAAATAATTTAACAAATATCAATTCTTTGAGTTGAGAAGATTTCATATTCATGTGGTTTCACTGAAATTCTAAAAACATAAGTAGGTTATGTTGTTTAATGCTTGAAGGATATTTCGGTCTTTTTTTAGAAATTAAGGATGTTAAAGTTTTTTTTGGAGCATTCTGCTTTTGTGGTTATTATCCAGATGGTAGCGTCTTTTCTGGAAGGTATGCATCATCATTTACGATTTTACCCTTGACTTTGATAAAACTTCATTGATTTTTTGCTTCAGTGATGTTGCAGGAGTGATTATGGCTATAAGTTGTTGCACTGCAGTGAGAAAGTTAGGGTCAGACCGTATTGCTTGTGGTTTATTCACACTGTCGATTACTGATGTTTAGTGGAGCTTTTGGACTTGCAGCCTTGTAACAGTGGATAAATTGCATCATTTGGTACTTGAAGCTGGATTTGAAGATGTTTTTTTGTTTCATTTTTGTAAAAAGATTTTGCCAAATAAGAATAATGAAGATGTGGAATTTTGGATTGGGTTGTTTCAGAAAAAACTTTTGATAGCATTTCACTGAAAAAATGTAGTAATAGGCAAACTGACGTTCACTGACAAGGTATGTTCTAAACTATACAAATAATATGGGTAAATAGTAATAAATACCATATTCTTATGTACAGATCGAGTCAGGAGACTGCTTTGGCTACACTTGGGATCTTTGCGTTTATGGGAAGAGAAACAAGATTATTCTTTTCAGAAATGAACATAAAGGATCTTGATGATCATACCAAGGATTTCCTCAGGTCATTTAGGCAATCGGTTAAACATATATTTTTAAATAATTAAATAAAGTCTGAAAGGTTTTCACAAATTGAAGTTACTTGGAGTGTGGTAGCCCGTATATTTATCCTGAATTTAGCTCCCCACCTGAGTACAAGCTCTTCATCAAGGTCAGATGATTTATGATATTAATTGATGTTAATTTATTTATTTATATTATAATTACAATTACAATTTACAGGTGGTTATAGGGGAAATTGGACGACTTGATTTTTATTTGCCACTTAGATAAAAATTCCATCATGATGGAAGAAGATCAAGACAAGAAGTTATCCATGCTGAAAAAGAGATTATTATTTATATTGTTCTTATTGTTCGCTATGACGTTTTTTCTAGATATGCTCATTATATCGGTTCTTCCCAATAACCCATGGATGCAAAGCTGCTTTGAAGGTACATCATTAATTTTAAAATTTTTGATATATATTTATTTACATATTCTAATTTATATATGTTTTCATGTTTGTACTTTGTAGTCCGTCATTATTATCGTGTTGTCTTGAAGAGTATTGGACTACTTATGATAAATTTGGCTAAGCTGGTTTACCAACCATATTCTTTAATATCATTGTACTTTGAAAATAAGTGGATTATTATAAGTTTATTTTTTTGTTTTTTTTTTTTTGACATTTTAGTTTGAAGACTTTTTTTTATAAGTTTTTATTGTTTTCTTATGGATTTGTTTGACAAGTAATTTGTTTTGATTTAGAAATTTATGTTTATTTTCATCCGTTTCCCATAAATTTTCTTTTTTAATTATTATGTGTTCCCCGCGTTTAACGCGGGTTATAATCTAGTTGTTGTTATTATTATTATTATTATTATTATTATTATTTTGGATTTAGGGGGCCTAAGATGGATTGGGATTTTTAATTTTAGTCCTTTTTTAACCTAAATCAACCGGTGGAAGTGACACATGTATACTTTTGTTGACACCTTTATTGCAAACCGTACATCCTTTATTGCAAAATAATCCATGACCATTAGTAATTCCACATATATATTTCTCTACATATAAATTCATAGATAAACACTCCAAGAAATTCCAAAATCTTTCAGAAAACCCCAAATGAGAATTCCGCCAGCACCATCAATATCAAATATCACCAAAAAAGAACTAATATAGATTCTTATCATCAACCACTGATCATGCTACAAATCAAGAAACCAAAACCCTAAAATCACTATCTTTGGAAGTAAAATATCTCGAAGAAGAAAATTGAAACCAAATCAAGCGAATCCATAAATTAAAAACCCATCACCAGATTTAGAAATCAATAAACTTCTTTGTGTCTCTAAAAATCAATCAAAATGCTACACTTGTTCTTCATAGTAGTTTTCTCTGTGGAAAGAATCGAACATCTATATGCATAGGGTTTACCCACGGGTATGATACGTGTAGGATCTTGGATTGCATGCTTTGCAACAGGGGCATATATGGGTCTGTGTTTCTTTCTTTTTTTCTTGTACGGTTGTTTCTGAATTTGAGTCTTCTAATTATTGGCGAAGTAACAAATCACAGGGCAACCCCACACCCTCTTGCAATCTATTAACAAGTGTGGGTGTTCAAAGCGCTATATTTCTCCCTTTTTTCCCTCATCGCACATACTACACGCTCGATTGTGTTTTGTGAAACAAAGATAAAGCCCATCTTGTGCTAGGTGTGTTCATCATATGTGTGAACATATGTGGAGAAGATGTTGAACAGGTGTGAAGTCGACTCCAAGCTCTGGTTCAACCCTCAAAATCACTATGTATTTCGATTCAGAAGTACATCAAGACATGGAGAGAATCAATCACAGATACATGGGCCCCTCTTTTGAATGGGCCCCTCTTCTGAAACCGATTCCAGATAAGGATCAAAATAATTAACACTTACTCCCTTATGAAGCGATCTCTCTAGTCAAATTTTATGACGAACGATATTGTTGACTTTCAATGGGATTTAATGGATATGAGGTGAGGAGGTGAGGTGGATGTAGTTTAATTTTTTTTTAGTTAAAAAAAATCACATGGTACATGAAACTGGTTATGATAGGTTAGAGAGACCGAATAAACAGGTCAAAACCTACCTTATGCCCCCATAAAACCAAAATAAATAAATATAAATATATAATTACAGACCATTTAGACCAAAACTTGAAACTTCGATTGACTGCGGTGTTATTTTTCCATTGATCAAAGTATCTCTATGGTTAATTTAAAAGAAAATAACTATAAGACTTTTTTTGCTGTAAATTATAGAAATTCTATTCTAAGTCACTATCGTTGATTCAATTTATAATTTTTTTACTAAACTAATACAAAAATGATACAATTGACAACCAACCAAGGAGCCGGTGCGTAGTAACGTTGTTTATTTATTTATTTTGACTTGTATTGAAAGAAAGTGATTGAAATTGTTCACCTTGGTCGGTTGGTGCTTAAATGTAACTCTATCCATTGTTCAAGGGCTATAGTTGTAGTTTTCTCATTTAGATAAACACAGAGCATAACAAATTAACAATGGAAGAAGCTGTCCATAGATGAATCTTCCGTCTCTCTCACCGCGTTCACACGCTGTCCCTTTACACGCTACTTTACGCTTAATCTCTATGTATATATTCAATTCTTCACACCCATCTTTACGAATTCATTTCCTCACTCCAAAATCAACAGTATAAAACCCAAAACTTCCATCGTTTTCTATACATACACGCAATGGAAATCACTTCGATTCCGTTTTTGAATTCAGAAGAGTACTCCTTTTTCTACAGTTGCTTCCAAGATACCGACACCGATAACGGAAATTCTATCAATAAAAGACGAAAGCTTGATGAATTCGATGAAGAAAGCAACTCCTTGGACGAAATCCTCAACACCATTGAAGTTCTCAACGATCATGAGATACCCACTTCCAAATTCGAACCACCCACTTCAAAATCTGAAACACCCAATTGGGATTTTGAGAATCCAGGTTCTGAAATAGCGGATTGGGATCGGGGAAGGGTGAGGAAAACGAGAAATCCGACACCGGAGGTACCGACGGAGGATGGCGGGAGAGGTGGTGGACACCAACGGAGGTTATGGGTGAAAGAGAGGTCAAAAGGGTGGTGGAAGTATCACAATAGCGATCAATGTCCAGACGATGAGTTTCGAAAAGCATTTAGAATGAGTAAATCGACGTTTAACATGATCTGCGACGAGTTAGACTCAGTCATCAATAAAAAAGACACGATGCTTCGTATGGCGATCCCTGTTCGCCACCGAGTTGCCGTCTGCATCTACCGTTTAGCCACCGGCGACCCACTCCGAACAGTGTCGACGCTATTCGGACTCGGAATATCCACCTGTCACAAACTAGTCCTTGAAGTCTGTGCTGCAATTGGAACTGTTCTAATGCCCAAATTCGTTCAATGGCCGGATCAAGAAAGGGTAAAAGAAATCAAAACCGAATTCCGATCAATCTCCGGCATCCCTGATGTATGTGGGTCAATCTACACGACCCATATATCAATAATCGCCCCGAAAACAAGCCCGGAAGCATACTTCAACAAAAAACACACTGATCGAAATCAAAAACCATCATATTCGACAACAGTTCAAGGTGTGGTTGATCCTAGAGGTGTGTTCACAGATATCTGTATTGGGTATCCAGGGTCGATGCCCGATGAACGAATCTTGGAGAAATCGGCATTATCTCATAGAGCCAACATGGGTCTGTTGAAGAACACATGGGTAGTTGGTGGGTCGGGTTACCCGTTAAAAGAGTGGATGTTAGTACCCTATACACACCAAAATCTTACATGGAGTCAACATTCGTTTAACCAAAGAGTTGGGGAATTGACTAAGATTGGTAAAGAAGCATTCATGAGGTTAAAAGGGAGATGGGGTTGTTTACAGAAAAGGTCAGAGGTGAAATTACAAGAATTGCCCATGGTGTTAGGGGCATGTTGTGTCTTGCATAATATTTGTGAGATGAATGGTGAGGAAATGGATGTGGATTTGAGGTTTGATTTGTATGATGATGAGGTGGTGTTGGGGGAGGGTAGCAGGGATATTTTGGTAAAGTCACTTCAAGCTCGAGATAGTATTGCTCATAATTTGTTGCATGGAGTATAGTTGACTATAATTTTGTCTTTTGATGCATTTATGACAATTCATTCGGAATACGGTTTTTGAATTTCTAAATTATATAATTCTTAAGTTACGTGTTTACATAGAAAGTAAATATATTGATAAAAAAGAGATTTTGTTCGATCATCTATTTTTTTATTAGTTTTTATTGGCAAATTCATTCGAAGTTGGAATTAACATTGTTCGTAAGTTTCGATATAAAAACATTTATTAAGTTGTGTTTTTATATAAAAATATTAGTAGGATAAAAATAACAGGGTAAAACACAAACAATAAAATTAAGATGGTCGAAACTAAACTTCAAGCAAACCATGAAAGACAAGTTTATTATCGTTCAACATCATGAAACTAGTTGTGTGACCCATGTATTACATGGATTAATTTTTTTTTTAAAAAAAAGTTAAATATAAAGATCAAAATATTTGAGAAATTTGAATTTATAAGAAAATAAGAAAAATAATGAATTATTATAATGAAAATGTTTTTTATCTTTTAAATTTAAACAAATAGTTTAAATAAATAAAATAAACTAATGAGCTTTATTTTTATGAATTTTGAAATTAAAAGGTAAGTTTTTTAATGAAATTGATATTCATTTATTACTACATTTATTTCAATTGTTATATTAAAATATTATGTGGAATTTAATAAAATAGAAAAACTCATAAAATGACATGTGGAAAAAAATTAATTCAAAATAACCACAAAATGACATTTGTCAAATTGAATGAGAGTGTGACAAGTGGCAAAAAAAACATTCATTTAATAGAGAGGATACTAAAACAGAATTAAAAAAAACACCAATATTGAATATTGTTTGCTTCGCTTATTGTAACGCTCGTGTTTCTAGGATAGGTATTAATATTGACGTAATAGTCTAGGTTAACCTTTGTAATTCATTTTGAAGAAATGAAAAAAAATTATGTGAATATTATGTGAAAATTATGTGTTTTATGCTTAATTATTATAGTTTAATTAATTAAGAATAAAAATGAGCGTCGAAAATAAATATTAGATAAAGTCGATATTTATTAAAAAAGTTGTAGTGGTCGTGACAAGGATTACGGATATATAAAGAATACCAAAATCCGAGTTATAACGAAGAAGTTATGACCTGTCGAAGTTTCGCTACAAAACCGGCACAGTGCCGAATGTCGTAAAAAGTGAGTTTTTGATAAACTACTTTTTAGCCTTAGTGATCTAAACGAAAGTCGTAGTGTTCGTTAAACCGAGAGTATGTATAAAATGAACGCCCAAATCTGACTTCGTATGAGGAAGTTATGATTTTTCTAAGTTTCAGCTTAGCAGTAGACAGCTAAAAACTCGAATTTTAGATCGAGTGATTTTTAGCCGATACAACCTTAACGAGAATCTAAGGTCTCACCAATAGTAGTACAACGGTAAAAAGACAGACGAAAACAGACGTCGGATGAAGAAGTTATGAATTTTTAACGGATTTCCTGTCCCGGTCTGTTAAAAATAATAATATAAAAATTAAAGTCAAAATTAGCCGACGAAGTCTAAACGAAAGTTGTAGAGCGTAACTTTACCTAAGCGTGCATATAAATAACGTCAAAAACGGAGCCCGTATACGAAAGTTATGGATTTTAGAAGTTTTTGCACAAAAATCGAGAAAAAAATGTCAAATCCGAGAAATTTCGCATGGGGGGACTTCAGCCACGTCACCTTCGCTGCATGCGCGCCATGTGTCCGAGACTGCTGAGTCACCGAGGCCACCTGGCGATACGTGTCGCCTTCCCTCGCATCCGAAGTGCGGTCCAATAGGTGTCCGATGCGTGCCTTCTCATGAGGTGTCCGACCTTCGCATGGTGTGTCACGACCGTTCCAATCAGGAGGCTACACCAGGACCCTCGCACGTGCGAGCCATGTGCTTCCGCTTCAGATCTGCTGACGCGTGGAGTCTTCTCAGCCCTTGGATCAGGAGCATCGTCCCTATAAATAGAAGGGTGCGAGACCTCCCGGATATATTTTGGAAACTTGTCATTTTAACCCCTTTTTCAATATTTCTTTCATTCCAACTTCCCCCAAAGCCCCGGTATTATACCAAACACCCGAAATACGCCCCGAAGTGCCCGAGAAGCCCGAGAAATTTATCTTTTCGGTTTTGAAGCCCAACCCTCGCAGAGCCCGGTTTCTCAATAAAACTCCCGGTTTTATTAGAAACGATCGTTTTAGGAAACGAAGTGCTGCCCGATTATCAGTAAATCATGTGAGTGTGTAGTCACATTCATCTTACACCTAGACATGAAGTATTTTCTATAAAATACGTGCTATGTGTAATTATATTAATTGTTTAATTAAGGTGACTGTTGAATAAATGTTTTATACAAGTTTTAAACTGTATATATGTATTTTATCTACAAATATGTTGGGTAAAACATGGGTAGACGAAATAGTCGAGGTGTGTTAAAATGATGAGAGGCCTCGATGTTATTGTGATCCAGTCATCTAGCGGAGTATGGATGACGACCACAGACTTTTCTAGACAGTCCAGTGGAACGCTGGCAGGCTCGCAACCTGTAGGTGTTAATGAGCTTGGGTGTTCATTTGTTGTACTCCATCCCCCACATGGTTGCCTTATTTGACATAAATTGCTGGGAAACCCCCAAAGCAGTTTTGTCGCCCCGATGAAAATCCTTAGGCTAGGTCCCTTGTGATAGGTGTTTAGGGACGTAAAGTGAGGATAACGGGAATGGGTAATCAGGGTTATTGTTGATTGATAAACTTAATAAGTTTATTATTATTGTGGGTTGAAAACCATATATGCCCACCAGGCTCCCAAGCCTAACCCACTCAGCTTTTTATGTTACAGGTAGTGGACCCCGAGCATAGTCGGATGATGATGAGAGTTTTTTGGATTATAGGCCAGTAGTTGTAAATAATTGTTGAAAGACTTATAATGTCTTGTTTATGCTTTTGATCTGTATCGGAACATGACATCCCGAGGTTTTGATATGAAATGAAATTATATATTTCTTAAAGAAAGGTTTTGACAAACTTTTATCATGTTTTGTTTTGGGGATCAATTTCGCAACATCTTTTAAAAGGATTTCTCTGACTTTATTTTAAAAAGTATAAATTAAATCGGTCTTTTATGGCCAAGAAATTAGGGGATGCACACTTATTAAATTGGAACTTGTCAATCTTTCTTTAAATTTTCGCAAAACTGTAAATTAATCCTTTCTATCGGTTCTATTTTGAAGAATTCGAAAGATAATCATTCAAATTTTATTATTATTATTATTACTAGGTGTGAGAATCATGTATTACATGGATTAATTTAAAAAAAGAAAGTTAAATATAAAAATCAAAATATTTGAGAACTTTGAATTTATAAGAAAATAAGAAAAATAATGATTTATTGTAATAGAAATGTTTTTATCTTTTAAATTTAATATCCATTTATTACTACATTTATTGCAATTATTACATTAAAATATTATGTGAATTTTAATAAAATAGAAAAAACTTATAAAATGACATGTGGAAAAAAATTAATTCAAAATAACCATAAAATAATATTTGGCAAATTGAATGAGAATGTGACAAGTGGCAAAAAAAATTTCATTTATTAGAGATGATTATTATATTTTTTAAATCAGTAAATTTCTTTCTAATAAATGAAGGTTTTTTTTGCCATTTGTCACACTTTCATTCAATTTGTCAAATGTCATTTTATAATTATTTTGAATTAATTTTTTTCCACATGTCATTTTATGAGTTTTTCTATTTTATTAAATTCCACATAATATTTTAATGTAATAATTGCAATAAATATAGTAATAAATTGATATTAATTTCATTAATGAACTTACCTTTTTAATTTCAAAATTCTCAAAATTAAAGTTAATTAGTTTCTTTTATTTATTTAAATTATTTGTTTATATTTAAAAGATAAAAAACACTTACATTATAATAGTTAATTATTTTCTTATTTTCTTATAAATTCAAAGTTCTCAAATATTTTGACATATATATATATATATATATATATATATATATATATATATATATATATATATTAAATTAACCCATGTAATACATGAGTCCTTTATATTTAACTTTTTTAAAAAAAAAATTAATTCATATAATACATGGGTCTCACGACTAGTAATTATTATATATAATGACAATATTTGAAATTTTAATAGAGCCACATATGTATAATTGTTTTTGCATAATGATAGATACCACAAAAAGAATTGCATGTGGCAGCTTTCTTTCTATCTTTAGCAAATTAGACTTTTGCTCCATATGGTTTATATATATCTACAGTTTAAGTTTATATGGTTACCAAAAATTATATATTTGGTCCTGAAGTCGTTCTTGTCTAAACATTTCCTTTAACCATAAATGAAATACGAATATACCCCTAATGTTTTATTATCATTATTTTGTCATTTTTATTGAATTTATGGATAATTTGTATAAATTTTTGAAAAAAAAAACAAATAAAAGCTTTAATTAGACAGCGCCCATAATCTTCCAGAGAAGACTCTTCTCTAGCAACTCCAAGGAGGATCATCGTCGACAAACCTAGTTTTATATTTTCAGTAAACTTACGTGGTCTCCTTCTCTGTCAACACAACGTCACTACACCGCCACCACCATCCTTCCCATGTTCATATTTTCCTCTTTTCCCCCTTTGTCATACTTTATTTCTCATCCCATCGGTGACACCGCCTCCTACCATCGCTCAAACGACCACCGACCTTTTCTTTCTCCTATCATATTCCCTGATCATTAGTGGTGGTCGTCGTGATGGTGGTGTTAGTGTTTTCAATGGTGGTGGTAGGTTAGGGTTTTCATTATAATTTAGGGTCAAGGTTTTAATTTTAGTTTATAGATTTGGTTTTGGTGGTGTTGATGATGGTATTGTGGTGGTTAGCGGGGTCATGTGGCAACAATGGTGATGATGATGGTAGTGGAGATTGTTATATCATAATGTTGATTTTGATTTATAC